TCTTGTGGTGTTTGCAGTGACAAGTCGATGTCGGTACCTTGATGGAATGGTGCGCATCCATCCAAGTTTTGTGTGATGTTTCGATCTTGTGAGATTTGAAGACCACGACAAGAGTGGTTTCCGGGATTGCTATAACCAGCTTTCCACTATCAATCGATGTGGTCACTTTTCTTGGTGCGATTTCTGAGTGTTTAGCAAGGAAAAGCCAACTAGACCTTTGACCTGGCCCTGAGGCGAGTCCTTGTGAGTGCTTCCGGTTGGATTATTCTTGCAGTGGTCATAGCTATAGTGCACCTTATTTCATCTACCCTTGGGTGAAAATTAATGGTGTCTTAGCATGAGTGGCTTTTGGGGGTTGTCGAATTTTCCTCTCTGCACCTTCCTGTCTTTCAGTTGTGTGGAGTGCTTCGCAACAAACCCAGGACCTCCTCGCTGAAGGTCACTTTTGCCGACGACGCGCGCGCGAACCGGGTTGTGCGTCAGCCCGACAATCACCGACTCTCCCGACACCAGTCGCTATGACAGCGAGAGCGATCGGAAGCCGCCACCTTACCTTCCTCCCTCTTCCCCCCCCCACCCCCAAAATGTACATTCCCGTCGTCTTTACATTCCACAGCCTAAAATGATCCTATCACTCGCCCTTCCGCCTCCCCTCGTCTTTCGTTTGTCTCGGAAATGCATTTATCGGCGAACTAGTTGTTATTTATTTTTCATCTGACAAATAGTATCTCTCTTGAACTCGAGTCGAAATTTTCTGCTCTTCTAATTACAACTGGTATGGGGGGGTGGGGGGTTGTGTCGGCCGAACTAGGCCCCTCCAAGGCGTCAATTTCTTGGAATGAATTTGATTGTGTCGCCACTTTGAAAAAATGCCGTGTGTGTATCAAGTTATGCCATAGTTGGGCAGAATGCGAGCGAGAATTGGTGCAATCGAAGTGGTTTCGGTTCAAACTGGGTCAATTCGCCCCTGTACACACCCGAGTGCCACTTGATTGGTTAATTTTCATGCTGATGAAAATGACCTCGAACGCACAATCTGATTGGTCACTCCGGGTTTGTGTTTTCGAACGAAGGCTGTGTTGTCTTGACCTTAAATGTGTGCATCGACTTGCTGTTATTACCAAAGTTTTGCTGCTGCCGAAATTGCATTCTAATATTTCCAATCAGTGGTAAATTTACTCTGTCGAACAGATGGTAATTTCAACAGTTCATCGTGTGACTCTATGGAGTTCAATCAAGTATACGCCAGGACCGGGGGTACAGATTTGAGGGTGCAAGCAGCTTGCCTCTGTCGACTTCTTGGCTAGGTGTTTCAAGTGGTTTGTACTCTTGGCATTATGCATAGTAGCCCATAACCATACATAAAGCACGCAAATTTGCTAATAGCTTTCAATGTGCATGCGGTAGGCCGATTTGAATTATCTTGTCACAATCGTACGCAGCGCAACTATGACAGTTAGCGTTGAAGGTGAATTCAAACTACACAGGAAGGAGTCTAGTGTTTTGATGCACAAGAGGGCAAAAATTGCATTTTCACATACTTGAGGGGGTATTAGGGTTCCGACAAGAAAGCTTGATTCTCATTGGTTGTCATCTGACAGTAAACAATTTAAATCCGAGAAGTAATCCTCTAAATTTCTGAACATATCCCCCATTGGATGGCTTCAAGGACTAATTGCTTTAACGCTGGGTGAGTTCGGCCAATCAGAAGCAAGAGTAAGTCACCGACACCAATCAGAGTTGGATGCACTTGGTTCGATGAGATTGAATGATCCAGTACATACTAAGGATAATAAGACAACATTTCATATGTTATCTTCGTCATTAATACTAGAAAAAACTTTGCATAAATTCAACTCCCGACGTCCTTAATGTATAAATTGTGTGAACGCAGTGATGGGCTATCAACTAACTGCGCAGTTCGATTAACGAAAAGCAGCATGGCCTTGAGGTGTAAAATCCGCTATTGAAACTACCACCAGTAAAATCGTTTTTAGATGCACTTAAAAAACAACACTTTCTTTGTGTAAAAGCCACCAATCTGCTCAAGCGTCCGCAGTATTTTCATGGTAAATGCGTTCTAAAGTTACTCAGGGCATTCTGCCAATTTGTGTCAAGTGGGTTTTTTTGGATCCTCAAGTCTTTTCCTGGTTGGCTCTAACTTCCTAAACACGAAAAATATGGATCCTACTTTGATTGACTCAAGTAGCAGATTAAATTTAAGGCGGTTGCGTGAGTTTAGCTTGACTCTGAAAATCAGAGTGGTAAACTAAAGCGGACGTCCATTAGGGGATTTTAACTAGCCAGTCTGATATCTAGGGACCCCGCACTGCCTACTGTGTGGTCGAGATTCGAGTGGCCGTCTTGATGTAAGCAGAGCTATTTGGGTGGCTGTGAGTAGCTAGGTAGGTCTGGCGCCAAAATAATAGAAATTGTTTACAATAATTTCATTATTTTTTGTTTTTCTATAAAAAGGAAAATAACTCGTCCAGTACACTTGGATTTCTTGATTATCAGCATTATTCGAATGGGTGTAGATAGAAATTGTTTACAATAAGTTCAAAATTTTTTTAGTTTTTTTCCTAAAAAGGAAAAGAACTCGTCCATTAGACTTAGATTTCTTGATTATCAGCATTATTCGAATGGGTGTAGAATTCGTTGACTGGGTTTCGTGTCTCCAACACGACAGAAGTTGCCGTTCATTATTCCTCGAAAGCGCGACGACTCACGGGTGTACAATAACACCACTTGCCTTGTGAGTTAACTAACATCCGTCTTTGTGTTTTAGCGTTGTCTAAATGGCATCGGATAATGTGACGCAATCAAATTAACTAACTAAGAATATGGCTTTGAAAACTCTTCGGATGATTAAACTGTGAGCTGTTGTGACTCGGATGGACGGCGCCTGAGGTGTGGCTCTGGCTTGCGATTGGTCAATAAAGCACGTTCTGTTGTACCAGTTTCCTTCCTTCTGGGGCTCGGGTATTCTACACTGTAGCACCAAATTAAAGGCATAACAGGCGCGCAAAAAAATTGCTTATTTTAAAGAAATTAGCACACACGTGGATGTGTGATTTATTCGATTATGTTAGGTAATTACAGCTATTTACTGTTATTACTGGGGAAATGGGATATTTCTGAAATCGATGAACTATGGTAAGGTGAATTACGGTTTGTGATAGTGTAAACCCAACGAAACTGTCGTCAAAGTACTGTAAGTATAAATTGGGGGGCCATTAGCTGCTGAGAAAACCGGGAATTGGCTTGGGGCTCGTTTTTCCAAAGGATCTGGGGGCATTACAGATATGTCGGCTCATTATTTATTCAAGAATCGGACAAAATTAGGCTGCGACTTGTGTGTCTGTCTGTTATAGACGCATAATCGTTTTCCGACTGAACGTTCGGGTTTGAAACCACAAACTTACAAGGAGATCTACATTTAGAGGCCACTCTACCGTAGGTTTCGTCATTTCAACAAGGACGTTGACATGGTTAACGAGAAGAGGACCTGCGACCAAACCGCGAGCGGTTCCACCTAAATGAAATGTTACAGCCCCTGCCTCAGGAAGACTTAGTTGACATAGCATCCATTGCTGCTTTGATCTTGGCTAAAGTGCCCTTCATTTCAGCGATTTCTTGAGATGCTTTGTCTAGTGCAAGGGCGTTCGATTCTATGCAAGGAGCAGGGTTAATTTCGAAGACCTGTGTCGATTTAGTCGCTTTCATTATGAGGTCGGCAGTACCTGCCAACTTTTCAAGTGTTGACACTCCGACAAATGGGGGCAGAATTGGTTGGACAGTAGTTGGCAGTTGATTAATAAAAACGCTTTCCAGAAATCCATATGCAAAGGATCATTGTTTGATTGCTGCCACATCTTTTGCAGATTCTGAGTTGGATTTAGATCTCCTAACTTATCACGAGAAATGAGTTGTTGTACACGATCGAATGTTGAGATTTGTGTACGTTTCAGCTTCTAAATAATCATAACGAGCTTGCTTGTTGACGTGAGGCAGCACATCAGATAATTCGTTTGCCAACTCACTGGTCAAGGCTGAAACTAAATGCGAATATTTTGCTTAATAACTGACAGTGTTAGCTGCTAAAAAGCTGCAAACCAACGAGGAGCAGCATTTGGTTAAAACAGAGGTATTTTCAAACTTTTCTGGCTACAGTAGTCAAAGGTTGATTCCTGATTGTTTATGTTGGGGTCACCAATTTATTTCGGCGCCGTGTATCACCAATTACCCAGCAAGGATGAAGTCTGCGGAGGGACAGAGAACCAACCATTCATTCGTTGTCTTCACCAGGTCGTCTTCACGTGTGTCGTGGGTGGTGCTTACGCATGTATTTATTGATTTAATGTGTGAGCCATAGACAGGATAACACTGAGACATAGGTGTAAGGATGGTCTAGGATAGCCGTTTTTGCTAATAAGGGGGAGTTCTGGATTCAAGCGGCTGGCGACATGATGAAATAGGGGGAGTGACAGAATTAACGAACGTGAATCAACGGCATTCAGGACATATCTATTGAGATTAGAAATATCGATCTCAAGTTTTGCGTTCCAGGCAGAGAAACTTAAAAGCTCTATTCAGAAATGTCAATCTACAGTCTAGAAAATTTTCCATGTATATATAAACTATTGTTTCATCATCTCCAGACGCTAGAGTCATACCCTTAGCATACAGCCAAGAAGTTTGCTAAAAGTGCATTAATCAAAGCGCATTTCAATAAAAAAGCAGGTTACATTGATTTGGAACGAAATATAACTGTGAAATCAAGTAGTATGCATTTATTTTGTGACGGCAGCAAGCAAGCTGAGTTAAAGTTTAAAGAAATCTTTATTAAAACTAAACAAATGTCATATCACTGTCACGAGGTCTAAAATACGTAATAAGTTTTTTCTGATATTTTAATGTGATTTGGATTCTTCGTGTTTCCGGAGATTTTTGCTAAAGCTTTCATAGTCGGATAGGAATTACAATTTTTTTCAATTTTTATGACAATGGTTAGTAAGCTATTAAGGTAATTAGCTTTTAAATTGTTACGCGCATTAATTACATACTTTATTAATTTAAGGTAATCAGTGTTCGAGTGACATGTAAAGTGCGCGCTCGTTGAGCACACTGTTTTTTTTTAGTTTTACTCCCTGCTTAATAATCGCGTTTTTACAACTTTTCTACCAATTGAACGTTATTTAAACTCAGTTAGATTGTAGACACAAACTTTATTTGTTTCCTTGGAATTTAGTTTGTTTTTGTATGATAATATGTGTCCTTTAAATTTACGTCAGCGGATATTGTCAAAGTTGTTTTTACGTTTAGCGCTAAATCTGCCCCGTGAGGGGCACCTTTTGGCAGCTTCTTACATTATTTTCCCACTCGCTACGGTGGATTGTACTGCTTACTTCCATATAGTGGTTTAGCCATTTGGTTTTTTACCTTAAAGGTAGTTTTGTAATTGCGTGGTTTATGCTGCCATTTCATTTGTACTGAACCTGAGGCTCCTCCATCAGGTCCTCAGTGTTAACCAGTAACAAACATCTTGTCTCAAACAATTATCGTTACGTGCTACTCATTTTCTGAAAAATAAGCGCCGTCGCATTTTGGTCACCACCGGGCGCTGGTTTTCACCATCGATCGAGTTTCTTCTTAATAGTTTTATGAAAGATTGCTAAGTTAAGAGTAATTGATGATCGTTTTATTTGTATTCATCTTCGTGTTCAATCATTGTTTTGACACATCCCGCCAGGCTTCTCAGTAAGCAGCCATGGTAAGCTCCTTTTGCATCCAAAACCGTATTTTCAGGCCGCTCCGTCAATCTCCGACTTCATTCTTCTGAAGCCCATTAGCCGTGGGGCGTTTGGGTATGTCCCTGAAATTTACACAAAACCCTCTACCTCTCCCAGAAAGGTGTTTCTCGGTGCTAAGAAGAAAGACAGCAGTGTCCTGTATGCAATTAAAATCATGTCTAAAGCCGCCATGCGCAAAAAGAATATGATTAACCAAGGTATGCCGATCTCAGATTGGATCCATAAACGCCCCCTTCCTCTAGTCACTGCTGAGAGGAACGCCCTGGCCGTGAGCAAATGCCCCTACATTGTTCATCTCTATTACTCCCTGCAATCAGAGAGCTACGTGTATCTAGTAAGTGCGCGAGACGTTCGTGTAATGTGTTACTAGATAATGGAGTACTTGATTGGCGGAGATCTCAAGACCCTCATTATGGCTGCTGGGTACTTGGAGGAGCCTCACGCTTCTATCTACATGGCAGAAATGGTGATTGCTGTTAAGTACCTCCACGAGCGCGGTATCATCCATAGGGACTTGAAGCCAGACAACATTCTCATCACTGCGAAAGGCCACTTGAAACTCACCGACTTCGGACTTTCGACTCTCACGTGGTCTAGAGGTGGGTGTTCTCATTTTATTGACCGCTCTAGACACGACACAGATGTGAAATGTAGTAAGAGAGAGTGTCACGAGTGTGTGTGTGTGTAAGATGATAGGCCACTGTCTTCCTGTTAGCTCTTCGACCCTCCGACGTGCTCTACACTCCGTCGACATCGCGTGTTCCACTGGCTTTCTACCGCACACCCGGTCAGGTCATCTCCCTAACCACCGATCTCTCCTTCGTACGTTTTCGCGGCAAATACTCTGGCTTCATTTGCGTCTTTTGTGACGCCGATTGTTTTTTGTTGCCTCACAGAAGGACACACCTCCTCAGCGTGAACGACACCAATCTGCGCATCTGGGGAGTTCGTCCGACGATGCTGAAACCGCCAAGCATATTGCAAATCTTTCCACCAAAGTTGTGAGTCGTCCCTTGCTTTCTCTTTAATCTGTTCTGACGGCATTCAATCCAGCAAACTTGGTGTTGCCTTCAGAAGTCGGAAAGTGCTCTTTATGATGACCAGCTGACGGCACAGCACACCTCGTCTCCTCTTTTACAGAGGTCGTCGCCGCCGCCGCCGCCAATCAGTCGACGGAGTCCGCTTGCCTCGCGAACCAACCTGATCGCTCTGCCATTCGCCTCGCAACCCGTCAAAAAGGAGGCTCGTGGGATGTCCGTGGTGGGCTTGAGTTTGCTTCGTTTGTGCTGTCGCGCCTTGCTGTGCACCTTGATAGCACTATTCCTTCAATCCCCCCTAATTACAACCCACAATTGGTTTCTGTGATTGATCATCAATCGAAATTGGAAAATTTTGAGGGGGGAATGAAAGGGTTTATGTCCGATTATCGTAGACTGGTGTTTCTTTTCTGGCCGTAATGTAAGTGCGTCCTGAGTCAACACAGTCTTGTTTAAGAAGGCTTGTTTGGGCCAATTTATGTGCACTGTTAGGATGTTCAAATTTCCAAGTGAAGAGCTACATTTTCTCGCAATGTGTTTGGTTTAAATTAAGGCATAAGCGTTGGAACTGCAACGAAACCTGCTCGCGACGTTTGCGTGGATCGTACGCCTGCTGCTCTTGGGACAGTTGATAAGTGGTCTGTTCTAAATCGAAATGGCAACTCAACTGCAATTGACCATTTCATGCAATTCGAGTGCACTTCGGAAGTTGGTGGATGGTTTTTGGACGATTTGGCTGGCGGAACAAACTAGGACGTGTTTCCACAGCCTCGGCCATAAACAGAACGAGCCTTCTTAGGACCAAGTCACGAGTTTCGAAGGTGCAGAATCGGTGGCGGGTTCTTAATCACCTCATCAAATGAAAGTGCGGTTATCATGTGTGTGGGGGGGATGGGGTTACAGGAGAATAATGCGTCAAAATCATCGTTCTCGTGACCAACCGCTAACGTGTACATCTGTTTCGTTCTGTGCTACACTATTTCAATGCCTAAATTTTGGGAAATGGCAAAGGCCTCCTTACGCCTTTTCGGAGGTGAAATCACGCGGCAATTTCAAAGAAGAATGTCAGAAACTTGCATCCAGTTGGTAAGAAGTCATAATTCTATTGCCAGTGTATGGGCTCGTTGTTTAAATTTCAGAAATTCACCCTTCCCGAGGAGAACCTGAATGCCATCCCCGATTCCCCCACCTCGGCTGCCCCTCAGCCCGCCACGTCCAACGAACAGGACCGTCCGATCACCCCACCCACGCCGCTGCTCAAACCACCTCCTTGTGTAAGTCCTCCGCCCCCCCTCCATCCTGTTTCTGCAACTTGGTTTTTACTCAAGAACCCTCTGGAGCAAGTTCGAGAGGTGTTGACAGCTTTTAAATAGAGAGAGAGAATGCCTTCATTTAAGCGCACCAGAATGGACCAATCAGGATCGACCTCCGGGCGCCATCTCAAGGCCACCTCACGCTCCCAGATACCTCAGTAAAACAGGCGAACTCATGGCCACTAGTCGAGGCTTTCGTTTTACTTACTACAATAGCTGATCTGTTTTTGAATTAATACTGCTAGAACTGTCACGCCGTGCTAGCTTCGCATTTTCCGTCTCTCCTTCCAGCCTGAGACGTCTTCATGTGGCTCGAGAAGTGCCTGCCGTGGTGGACGTCGTCGTCGTCGTCTCCACGAGAGTCCGCTGGCTTGGAACCCTGCCACGTCGGTTCGCTCATCCGCCGTCACCTCCGCCACCGCCGCCGACAACAACACGACCGTCTCACCCCTGCGGATATCCGTCTCCTCGTTGACCCTCCGCACGGGTGACCCCCCCGCCTCTCCTGAAACCTCACCCGTCCTGTTTGATGGAGCCTCCGCGTGTGCCCAGCAAGCACCCTCTGATGGGTAGGTGTTGTTTTTTGATGAAAATTTGGCCGAATCGCCCACTTTAGTGACGCCGCCGTTGCGCAGAACGCCTCAACCTCGTTCGGCACCAGCTCGAAGTCTCGATGGCGGTCGATCAGCAGGGCCGTCGCGCAGACGCCCGTGTCCGTCGCGTTTGAGCGCATCAGGCAGCGCAAGCAGCTCACCTCGGCTGATTTTTCCAGTAAGTAGTGCCACTGGCCAATCACCACCTCCCGTGTGGCGTGCTAAGGACAACACATGCTGTATTTGCAACTACGTCTGGTAGGTGTTTAAGCGTATTAGGCAACTCAGGCGACTCACGTCATCTGCTTTTTGTAGTAAGTAGTTCGACTGGCCAATCACCACCTCCCGTGTTGCGTGCTAGGAATAACACACTGGGACTGTCAAACCCAAACCTCAGTAACCCACTAGAACTGGTGAAGGTCGTTTGCACCTAGCCAATCATAATACGGACTACCGGTTGGCGGCTGATTTGGATTTCACCTAACCGGCTGATTGTAGATTAAGCTTAACTCTCGTTGTTTCTCTCTCTCCCTGTGCAGACGCGCTTTGCTTGTCTGCCGTAAATCCTTCCAACCCACCTGTTTTCGCCGACGAATCGGAGACTATGGTGCCACCTCGGTCTATCACTCGGCGTTCTGGCAGATCAGGCATCCCTGAGGTACGTCTTCAAGTTGGCACTTTCCCCTCAGCTTATCGAGCAACACACACACGCACCCACCGATTTTGCCTTGTCCTCTTACTTATCCGCGGTTGGTTTCGCGTCGTTTCCACAATGCACCAATCACGTGCCCGGAAGGCCTGCGAACCATTGAGATTTGTGGGAGGTCGATTTGAACTGGTGTGCGGGAGCGATCCAAAAAAGAAAAACTTAACTTAAATTTTCCTATTTTGTGGCAAAAAGAGAAGGAGTTTTGCGTCCTGTCGGTTTTACCTCTAGGCGTCGGATGGGGCTTTCTCGAAGGCAGCTCGTAGCCTGCCCAAGACACCCGCCGACCTCTTTGGTGCCAGCGGCGACTGCTCCGAACTCACACCCATCCTCAACGCGGACGAGTTGAGCGCGGAGCTGGAATACGTCGTCAAAGCCGACGTGTCAAGGAACCTCGATGCGTCGGTGACGTGTCAGCCGCAGGTACGTCTTTTCTAGTGGCGAATCGCCAACCTCCCCACCTGGCGAGCAAGTTGACGTGTCTGTCGTTCTGTCCGCAGCGCGCGGCGCCGCCAAGGCCACGAATTTTGGGCACGCCCGAGTACCTTGCGCCGGAGATGCTGGCCTTCCCCGAGTGCCAGTGGGCAGGCAACAGTCCCGCGGTCGATTGGTGGGCGCTGGGCGTCATCCTCTTCGAGATGCTCACTGGCGTGCCGCCGTTCGCCGACGACACCCCCGAGGCCGTCTTCAACAACATCCTCAATTTGGGTATAAATTCTCCACTACTTTTGTGTTATAAGTAGGTGGTACGTTGCAACGATTCTTATTTCTTGTCTCCAGATATCCCCTGGCCAGAAGAGGAGTTAGACGAAAACGGCGAAGCAGTTTGTCTCATTTCCCCCGCCGCTAAAAGTCTCATCAGCTCTCTGCTGTCTCGCGATCCGTCCCAGCGTCTGGCCACGGCGAAATCCGTTGACCAGCATGACTTTTTCGCTGGCGTGGGTCCATGGACGAACCTCGAGAATGTGGAGATGCCGTTTGTTCCGTGTCCCGATGACGACACTGACACTGGCTACTTCGAGGTGGCTGGCCTGTTTTGCTGTTTTAAAATCCTAATTTTTGTTACTTTGTCCAATCTACTGATGTAATATAAGTACTACTTCTTATTTTTAGCTTCGGAACACCGCGAAGTCCTACAACGTCACCTACAGTGGCTGCGATCTGTAAAAAACGATACTTCAGTTCATGTGTTGACTTCTTTTAGCCTACTTTATCTCCCTTATGTAACTTTTAGCAACATATGTAGACCTAAATAAATAGGACTGTTTTAACTGAAATGACTTCAAATCTGTTGTAAAATTTAGAGGTTTGCCTAATGTCTCTTGGGTGCTACTCACTGCAGTATCAGTAGTCTTGCTGCCAACTCTTTACAAGGTGCGCGGTGTGTAGAATACCCGAGCCCC